CCCCTCTTGCGCTTAGTCAGCCTTATAATGCGTTATGACTTGAGGTATCAACCTATGGAGGGTAGCAAGCAATCTGTCTCCATGATATTTTCAATTCTCGCGATATACCCTGGATATCTCACCTAATTTCTATAAGGCATCTGCTGAAAGCAACTTACTCTACGATGGAAGAGCTACTGGAAATGTAATATGCAGTTTAAACTTCCCCAAATGAAGATTTGTGTTGAGTAAAAAGTGGACTACCTTTACCACCCCCAAAGTATGGGAATTGCTCAGATGAGGCGCTGAGTAGCACAGGATAGCAGCATCAAGTGCAGCTCCAAGAGAGGTATATCCGGTATCTGAATACTGGTTCTTTTTTACATGGCTTCTTCCGCTCCAAAGTCGAAACTTGAAAATTCAAATTGAAGTTGTTAATTTGGGATGACTTTAACCAAAACGTGCCAAGGGCAACAAAAGTTATATCTGGGACTGTTATCCCTACTCATAAACTTTTACATTTGCTTTGTTGAGTCCAAAAGTCAGGAAAAATATCCAAATCTCGTGCATTGCGCACCATTTGAGAAGGTCAGGCGAGTTAACTGTACTCAAGTCCGCAAGGTGTCCAATGAACGGGTCAGATCTTCACTCCTATTCGTTAGGCTCAACCTGTCAGCTGATTGGCTATCTGCATCCCCGTCGAAGGTTGAACAATGGGCCAATGGGAGACGTCAGCAGGAGGGATCGACAACAGTCCAGTCCCCCCTTTGCCATCGCCACTAATCTGCCAGTTGTGATGCCCGCGGGACGGAGGCGGAGTTTCCAACTGTGAAGCGCTGTTGTTTGCAACTTGGGAGTTACGAGTGAGCCAAACGATTTGCTTCATTGCAACTGACTGAATGTCTTTGTGGATTCTTTGGTGGGCTGTAAAGTAGTTAATTTGAAAGCCTTATTTACTGAAACATTAGTGAGCTTACAGTCTAGGCGGAAATTCGAATAAAGACATATCTAGTTTACAGGTTTTCGGGTGACACGATACATCACAACCTTCGTCAGCAGATATGGAGGATATAAGTGAAGGTAACGTCCAAATAGGTTGAGCAGGTATCTCTTTACCTCCATTACTGATAGTGTTTTGCAAAACCAATGGCAACGTATTTTAAATTTCACCTAAAAATCGCCGTTTTTGGTAGTCGCCGCGATGACGCAGACCTTTTCTCTTATGATAAGAGTCTGAGGGCAGTGCATTGCATCACCTCATTGTTGGCCAATGAAATCCGCTGGGGATTATTTCACCCTCTGTCACTCACTGAGACAGCTATCGCCTCTTATGCTAGCCTTATTTTTGGGCAGTACAACCTAAGACAAAACCACCCTCTCTTACTTATCTAATTAAGCTGCCAAAAAATTGATGAAGCAGGAGATAGTACTTTCTATTTATTGTTAAATAAATGGTTAGCTTTAGATTTAGCATGAAAAATTATCAAACGGGGCAAATGTGGTGGATGCTGGCCACTCGAGGGATTTATGGAATGCTGCCCAAATGGGTGGCATTACTTGGTTCCCGAAGTTTGTCTAGCCACCAATTGAGTGGAGAAAACCTTCCTCTCTTGCAGCCGGAGCAGAAATGGGGCTTATCTTGGCTATGACGATCTTCCTTTTATTGGGCAACATTGACTCCTGCAACGCGAGCGACAAAGGTAATAGGATATTGAAAATCCTCCTCATAGATCTCGCGAAGTATCCATTTTATAGGCCCGTAAATTGTGCGTATTTTTCGTCTTTTTTATGCATATCGATCCAACTTTGAAGACATTATGCTGGTGGGAGAAAAGAACTACCTAGCAGAAGGAGTGCCTCTGCTTTATAGATTTCAAATTTCAGTCCTTTGAGAGGACGCTCATCAAGCAGTTGGTGGAGAGGTACGAGAGACTGGGTAAAATTGGCAGGCCGGTGATGAACAACAACCAGACGTTGAATGTACAGTTTGGACTTTCGTTGTTCCAGCTCATGGACCTTGATGAAGCTGATCAACTGTTCACAGTGAATGTCTGGAACAAATTTGTAAGTCATTTACTAAATTGCCCATTTAGACTTAACATTGGACATCGCTCCAGGTCCTTCTTTAAGCATTTGCATTGTGAAGAGACCGCTTTTCAAAATCGTGGCAGAGTTTCGAGGCTACAGAGATGATCTAGCGAGGCTAAAATGCACTGTGATCCAAGTGCCTGCGTAGCCAGGCTCCCAGTTAGACAAATGACTACATCACTCAGTGTACACCGACTGGTCTTGAGTTTAATGTAAGAGTACACAAAGGCTGTTATCCAGAAGTTTTCCACCTTCACCGTTGAATTAGAGATTATGAGTGTTGCAAACTTAAAACCTTTTTTTTACTCTGAGCATTATTCATTAAATTTACTGGCAAAATAAATCCATCAACTTAAAGATGGCAAGGTTTTGTAGCAACCATAGGATGTAAAAATTTTACTGAATGCTGTGCTAATTAATGAGATTCTGGTAACGTTTCAGGCGTGGCGGGATGAAATTTTGACATGGGATCCCAAAAATTACAACGAAGTGAAGCACGTTCGAATTCCGGTGAAGCACGTCTGGACACCCGACATCGTACTCCTTAACTAGTATGCCGCAAGTAATTTCTATACATCTTCTACTTACAAAAAGTAAGTAGAATTGCGCTTTGCCGTAATTTTTCAGTGCTGACGAGCGTCTGGTGGAGCTGCGCGAGGTGATGCTCACCGTGGACTACACAGGTCAGATCTTCTGGAGTCCACCATCTATATACAAGTCCATGTGTCGTATTCAGATGGAACACTTCCCATTCGATCATCAGATCTGCTACCTTCGGTTCGCATCTTGGACGTTGCACGGTCGGCGACTTAACCTCACCTTTTTAGATGGGATCAAAAGTGCTCTGCTGGATGATTACCAGGAGAGCAATGAATGGCACATTGTGGCTTACCCCGCAGTTCGACGCTTCTTTCGACAGACGTGTTGCGACGAGCCCTCACCCAATCTTATATTTTTCTTCGTGTAGGTCGCATGCCCATAGAGCGGCGTGTCATCTTTAGTCGCCATTTAGCACCATTTCAAGAAGCACGAGTATATTTAGCGCATATCATCATTAAGTGGGGAAAAACTAAGTTGTCTCTAGCCATTCCTTTGGACAAGCTTGTGTTCAGTGATGCTGAATGCTCTCCCCTTTCAAACGCAGATTGAAGCGCAACCCGGACTTTTACGCCTACCTACTCGTTCTCCCGTGCATTTTGCTAGCGGTGCTTAATCTGGTCACCTTTTGGCTGCCTCCTCAAAATCCTGCGAGAATGATGCTTGGTCAGTTATTTTGCCTCCCTCTCTGGGTGCAGGTTCCACGTAGCATGGAGCATAGTCACGTGGGCTGTTGTACTGATGCCACAACATTAGGACTAAAAGATACTGAGGATGATCATTCGTAATAAACCTCGTAGAAGTATCGAGCATTTAAAGTCTGGTATCACGAATGTATGGATAGATAGTGTATTGCGAATGACAATATCACTTTGATGCAAAAAGTAGGCAATTTCGAAAGTCACTATTGGGGGTAACTTTGTGTTCCCTTTGCAAAGGTATGAACATCCTATCGGGCTTTTGCATTCAAATGAAGTTTCTCACGTTGTCGACACCGTCGGCTTCAAACACAATCCCCTATTTGGGTAAGACCTGCATTTCTTACCAAACTATGCATAATTGTCCGACTGAGAGGCTGTGCACGTTGTAAAATCGAAAGAATTTTAGACCAGTCGAAGGGGTAGATCGCATGAACTACAAAGCTAGGCAATGAAAGATGAGTAATCGAAGCCGATCTCTTGCGGAAGAGAACAATTTCAAACATCAAACATCAAACAGATGCGGGCAGGACAACTAAGGCCGTGGGAAGGAGGAATTCTCCATCAACCAATTCCAGTGAGCACAAAATCAACTCCAAACTTCAAATCAAACAATGCGTTCTTTAGCTTCTTTGGAAACCATCACCATTAGACTTTATCTAATCTCATCAGCAAGGCATCAGCTAGTCGTGAATGTCACTTCAACCGAACTGTTTGCCTCTAAAAGGAAACAGTCAAGTATAGACGAAGTTAGTTTCAGTCGCATTTCCATCTCTCAACTCTCTTTC